GTAAGGTGAATCAAGGAATCACAGCAAGGTGAATCAAGGAATCACAGTAAGGTGAATCAAGGAATCACAGCAAGGTGAATCAAAGAATCACAGCAAGGTGAATCAAGGAATCACAGCAAGGTGAATCAAGGAATCACAACAAGGTACAAGTCATAGCCTCGCGATGATATTATCTATCTCGTGGCCTCGCACATTAATTACATAAAATATTTTAAGTAAATATATACAGAAATTTGACCTTTAGGACGAATCCCGCCAGTCAAAACTATTCCATTAATGTGTAATGAGATCCCATCAGCTCCAGATAATTATAAGCTGGAGGAACTGGTTACCTTCTGCACACTGTAACAACACTACCGGAAACTGGTGACATGACAGACTGTGAAAAATATCCTTAACGAACAACCTGACTGACTAGGCCATCAACCTGGAGGCCTGGTGTATAACCGGGCCGCGGGGGCCAATGAACTTCGGAACCTTGTACAGACTACAGGTACCATGTTTCACGCCTTCTCTTGCATTATTCCTTCTCTGAATAGTATCAAGAACAAAAATGCTGGTAACGTATTTCTACTGGATTGTTTCCATTATCATTTGACGCTTGCGTGGGATCATATCAGGGTCCCCAAGTGCATGAATGGGACGATATGTTCCATAGGGCGGGGCGCTGGGACTGTGGTCGTTATCTTCTGCAGCTTCTGTGATGCCTTGCAAGATGTCCCTGAAGTTAAGAACATCTAGATTCCTTCCTATGCTGTGGAGGAGGCAGTAGTCACCTAGATGCATGTGACGTATGGCTTGTTCTAGTCTTGGGGAAAACGTAGTTTTAGCCATGAGCTGCAGTAGTCGAAGTCGCAATGCATCGCTGACGAATGTTGCCACCAGCCACAAGACCTTTTTGGAAGAAAGAATGTGCTGAGATTCTTATAACTGAGTAGGTAGGAAGTTTAATACGAACATATTATCTTACATTCGTCGGGAAACAGGACAAATGATGATCCGTTGCAGGAACCTTTGGTCATCTGATCGAGGTTTTCCGATGTCTTACCTGTCAGGCATTTTAAAAATTAAGTTTATGTTTTTTATCTTCACCTCGTATACTGCCAAAGTTAAAAGGTTAGACAGATAAAGTATAAAGCCTGTTTGGGGCATACAAGACATTAAAGCTACAGTTCACCTGTATACCACCAGTCAAGAATATACGGTATATACTCGAAACCTGTCGAGTATATACCCAGGTTATATTTTAAAGCTTAAAACTTGTCTACTGCTATAACTTTAATTTACCTTGGTCTTACCTTACAAGTATACTTTAACAGTATCATCTCAATACACACATGGGGAAGCGCTCAACCTGCAGAGGTTATGCAGCCCCTGTCTATCACTCGTAAAATACCAAGAGTCTCTCACCTGTAAGATAGTAAGAATAGTGAGAATGATGAACCAGAACCACATCACCAGATAGATCTTCTCGTTGATAATGTTCTGGGGAAGGACACAGAGCACATCCTTCTTCTCTATTTCTCCTGAGGATCCAAACATGTGGAAGAAGCACTTGGTCATCCTCGGGAAGGTCTCCATCAGGGCGTCGTTCCTCTTCAGGTCGTCAGCCGCAAAGAATGCGATCACCTGAGAATCAGAAACGCATTTTGAAATGCAATTTTTTTGCTTGGGATACCCGTGAAGGATATCATCTCGGGATACCTCTGCTATAATAACATTATATAATAATTATCTTTATTTCTACAAGTACATGTACAAGGTATACAGACCATAGCTGACATCAATGACATACCACTATATAGAAAGCCGCTTGTTATGCTGAACATTTCGGGCAAATTAGGTCAATTTTGTCGTCAGGAGGCCACCTACACCCAGCTACCTATTTTACTGCTAGGTGAACATAGACAGCAGGTGTCTTAAGGAAACGTCCTTATGTTTTCACCCGTAACAGGGATCGAACCACGGACCTCAGTGTGTGAGATGAGTGCGCTACCAGCCCAGCTTTGGGACACCTAGGTAATAATCTCAGTCAACTGGCAGAGTGGTTTACGCACTGGCCTGGAGTTTTACGACTCATTTCGCCATGGGTTCAAACCCCACCCGCTCCGTGGTTTGTTTATAAAGTGAACTAAAACCTAGGTGGGGCTATGCCAGTGCCTGCTTAACCACTGAGAGCCATGTAAAGGCAAACTCATCTTTCCTGACGAACAAAACACCACCAAAACTCATCTTCGTATGGCTGAAGATATTCGTGACGAATATGGCACTTCAGGAGTGTTGTTATGTGACCATGGCACTTCAGGAGTGTTGTTATGTAACCATGACACTTCAGGAGTGTTGTTATGTAACCATGACACTTCAGGAGTGTTGCTATGTGACCATAACGAGGAAAGGAGAATAAACTCATCAGATGTTTAGAAAGTTAGAAACAATTACGAGACTAAAAAAATAATAGGGAATTAAATTCAAGGTTAGAGTAGACTAGTTAAAACATTTTAGATTTTGTCGCCAAAACCATTTTTCCACCTTGCCACAGAATATTAATATAGCTCACCTGTACACCACAATAATGAAAACTACTTAATAAATTAATACCTGGGCTTCAAGTAAATATTATCCTAGTATTTCTTCTAGTTAATTATTATTAGTAGTAGTAGTATTTATGTGAAGATCTCAATGAGTGAGAATCATTCAGAGCAAGACCTGGTGAAGGCTCTATCCTCTGTCACCAATAATGAAATACGTAAGTGTGTCCATTAGAGGTCCAACATTGAAAATGATCACTGTAGTATTGATACTAGGCTGGAGTCCGCCCGACGAGCCTACTTGTATCTGCAGGCATGACAATTATTATTTTATAGATACAGTAATCTTCGAAGAGGTGGAGGGGTAAGCCAATGGAAGGCTTCTGTCAGACGACCATAAGCTCCAGTGGCGGGTCATCACATGAATAAGACCCGCGTCAGGAAACACTTGTCCTGTTTCCTGGCTAATCTAACGTAGTCATGAAAAACTATGCAAAACACGTTATGAAATAGGAAGCGTGTATATGAGCTGTGAAGAGAGACACAATAAAGCCCAAGGAAGCACAATTATCTGCTGTTATTAAAGTGAAGAGAAGCTGTTAGAGACAGGTACCAGAAACGTGGAAAGGTTTTGAAATACACACATAACAAAGATAGCATTTAATGTACCTATGAGATAAAGTGGTCAATGAAACTCGGATAAAGTCTTCCTCGTAAATAAGTTCAGCCTAGATTAACCTCTGACCTGAATATAATTTAAAATTATAGCCTGTTGCCTAATTTTTTTGAGTTTGCGTTTTAACTTGGACGTCTGAGATTAAGAACCTTAAATAAATGCACTAAATAAGCTCACCTTAATACCGTATTTCATGAAGAACCCCCCGAGGAAGAGGTTCATGAGAAACATCTGACCCACAACATTCACGAGGTTGAGCACCTCACACATGAAGTACACGGCGAAATAGTTCATATTGAGACCCTGAGACTCCTTCAGGTACCTGGTGGTGCAGGAGCAGAGAGATACATTAAGTTATGTCATATATCAGACACTACAAAGGGTTCCTGAAGGACCTGAAAGTGCAGGGAAAGAGGAGCGCACTTAGTAACTTCAGGGATGAGGCTTTAAAATTGTCCTTCAGGTATCTGGAGGTACAATCATAAACTCTGGTCGATGGCACAAACGAACCAACATGGAAGCACTAAAAAATACGTAAGGTAGTGTATACTATTTCGGGGTGACACCAGGCCGTCTTCAGCAAAAGGTTTCGTTAATGATCTTGGACTAGTTTATTTCGTAATTCTTAGTCACTTTATTCTCAGCGGAATAAAGTAATTGCATTTTTAAATTTTCTTCAAACTTGAACTCAAAAGTTGAAAAAAAAAAAATTACCAGAACTTACTTGATAATATTTTCTTTCTTCTTGTCAGCATCGTCATCAAAGAGACTCTTGTTGAGGTCCTGAAGTAAGAAGTCCACTTGCTTACCCTCACAACTCTTCCATATCAAGTGTGGAAGATAGAAGAAACAACCCTGATGCGTTCCAACCAAAATGAAGTCAAAATTAATAAAGAATTCTTCATGGAGATAAATAAACGGAATTTTATAATGATATATGTATTTTTCACTGTGTATATATATATATATATATATATATATATATTATATATATATATATATATATATATATATATAGATATATATATATATATATATATATATATATATATATAATATATATAATAATATATATGCAAAACAACCACTCTGAAAGAATAGAGAAATTCCAAGCGCTTTCGTGACTACTCACATTATCAAGGAACTATGAAAGTAAAGCATCCAAGGAAGCTATATAAGGGGTCTGGCCAACACCTCACTATCAGATCCCACAACGTTTAAACACCTGACGCGCGCCGGCCCAACTGGACAGGTCCTTTGCACAACTCACCAACAAACTATTCTACCCAAGAAAATTTAAAAATTATTGTTTGTCCAGTGTATTATTAAATTCTTCCCAAATTCTATTAATTATAAATGGATCTAATTTATATAAACCAAAGGAAATATTCATATTATTGTCAAAACTGCTTTTTATGAAACAAGATTCAATTTTATTCCTGTCGACCATGGACTTGCTTGATACTACTTTCTCAACTTTTTGAAAATCAATTGGATGGTTAAAATCTCTTACATGAATAAATAGACCATTGGAATCTTGTCCAGTTCTAATGCTATATTTATGTTGTTTTAATCTTAGTTCGAGATTTTTACCAGTTTGGCCGTAATAAAACTTTATCGCAAATTTTACAAGGAATCTTATAGACACATCCATCAGCATTTGGGGGGAATTCTTTATCAAAAGTTTTTTTTACTGTATCAAGATTTTGAATACAACTTTAATATTAAAAGTCTTAAGAAGAGAAGGCATATCAACCAAGTTTTCATGGTAAGGGAGAACCAACATATTTTTAGTTGAATAAGGCTGGTTGTCCCTTTTTGGATTGTAAAAAGTATTTCTAGCAACTTTAAAAGATTTATCAATTACATTTCTTGGGTATTTTAAATCATTACCTATTTCATAAATTTTGGATATTTCCTCATCTATGAACTCAGGACTACAAATTCGTAAAGCTCTCAAAAACATTGATGAGAAAACAGACAGTTTGACTCTATCTTGATACGAGGAATAATAGTGGACAATAAGTTTATTTAAACTTATTAAACTTTGCATTGTTGATGCAAAATTTGTATTTAATGATAAGTTTTACACTCAGAAGTTTGGTATGGCAATGGGAAATCCTTTTTCACCTGTTCTTAGTAACCTATACATGGAATTTTTTGAAACAAGGTTGCTTAACACAATCCTCCCTAATAGAGCTAAATGGTTCAGATATGTTGATAATATTTTGTGTCTTATGCCCAAAAATGTAGATATACACCATTTCCTTGGAAAATTAAATAACTTAGCCCATTCTATAAACTTTGCTGTTGAGTTTGAAGAAAATAACTCATTGCCTTTTCTAGATGTTTTAATTATTAAGGGTAATAATGAATTCCAATTTAAAATTTACAGAAAACCTACAAATAACTGTTCCTATGTCCACTATTATTCCTCGTATCAAGATAGAGTCAAACTGTCTGTTTTCTCATCAATGTTTTTGAGAGCTTTACGAATTTGTAGTCCTGAGTTCATAGATGAGGAAATATCCAAAATTTATGAAATAGGTAATGATTTAAAATACCCAAGAAATGTAATTGATAAATCTTTTAAAGTTGCTAGAAATACTTTTTACAATCCAAAAAGGGACAACCAGCCTTATTCAACTAAAAATATGTTGGTTCTCCCTTACCATGAAAACTTGGTTGATATGCCTTCTCTACTTAAGACTTTTAATACTAAAGTTGTATTCAAAAATCTTGATACAGTAAAAAAAACTTTTGATAAAGAATTCCCCCCAAAATGCTGATGGATGTGTCTAATAAGATTCCTTGTAAAATTTGCGATAAAGTTTATTACGGCCAAACTGGTAAAAATCTCGAACTAAGATTAAAACAACATAAATATAGCATTAGAACTGGACAAGATTCCAATGCTCTATTTATTCATGTAAGAGATTTTAACCATCCAATTGTTTTTCAAAAAGTGAGAAAGTAGTATCAAGCAAGTCCCATGGTCGACAGGAATAAAATTGAATCTTGTTTCATAAAAAGCAGTTTTGACAATAATATGAATATTTCCTTTGGTTTATATAAATTAGATCCATTTAATTAATAGAATTTGGGAAGAATTTAATAATACACTGGACAAACAATAATTTTAAATTTTCTTGGTAGAATAGTTTGTTGGTGAGTTGTGCAAAGGACCTGTCCAGTTGGGCCGGCGCGTGTCAAGTGTTAAACCGTTGTGGTGATCTGATAGTGAGTGTTGGCCAGACCCCTTATATAGCTTCCTTGGATGCTTTAACTTTCATAGTTCCTTGATAATGTGAGTAGTCACGAAAGCGCTTGGAATTCTCTATTCTTTCAGAGTGGTTGTTTTGCATATTCTGAATCACCTGTTTACTGTGATCTTATTGCATATATATATATATATATATAAATATATATATATATATAATATATATAATATATATATAATATAAATATATATATATATATAAATAATATATAATAGTATATATATAATATATTATATTAAATATATATATATATATATATATATATATAGTTGGACTGACTGGATGAAGAGCACTACTGGGACCCACTGGTAGTATGTATGGAAGCGTTGCTGATGGTACTTGGGGTTGTATGGTCCTACACCAACTATTGCTGTGCAGGATAACACTCACTTATTAACACCTTCCTTGTATTAATTACTTTATAATTTTAATCATTACATAATTTTTTCGTGTTATTTCTCCATGTCATTGGTGTGTGTGTGTGTGTGTGTGTGTGTGTGTGTGTGTGTGTGTGTGTGTGTGTGTGTGTGTGTGTGTGTGTGTGTGTGTGTGTGTGTGTACAAACACTCTCTTACCACCAGTAGAGTTGATAGTGAAGGTAGATGATATCCAGCAGTAGGTGGTGATGGGTTTAGGAACGTCAGTCTGGCCAGACAAACACTCTATAGTACTACCAATGTATTCGGAGGCGGTGACGAGGGCGCAGCAAATGAAGCAGAAGGCTGCCGTCCAGTGGTAATGCAACCGGAAGATCTGACTATCAACAAGAGTGCGAGAGTAACGCACCTTGACCAACCCTGCCAGGGCACCAAGCACAGGCAGCACCATTCTCACCCTCAGATACCTGCCATTACACAAGGAAACAATGAAGCGAACTACTGCAAAGAGGCCTGCGATTTGTTATGATTGTAATAATAATAAGACTATTAGATTCAGAGCCAAAAGTGCCCGGGATCGATCCCAGGGCAGGGAGGAGATGTGTGAGCAAGTCTTTTGACACTTGTGACGTAGTAGTAATTAGGTACCTGGGTGTTGGCTGACTGTTATGGATGGCATCCTGTCACTGGTAGTATATTACCTTAGGGTCCGGGATAACTAACGTGCTACTAACAGCAATTATGTTTTTCTTTATATCAAGCTACTCTGGGGGTATTTGTTAAAAAATATATGAATTTCCTGAATAAAACTCATCTTTGACATGAGCTGCGGTAGAGACGCAGCTCTTATCACGTAAGTTGAACTGTGTACAACAAACCTAAGGTAATTATTTTCTCACCTTGATTCCTCGCTCAGCGATGATATTGGAAGACACTGGTGTAATTTATTTTACTGGAGCGTCTTTGTTCGATGTCAGTAGAAGAGGCACTGGTTACTGGCACTCAAGGCTCTCACAAAACTCCATACTACGTCAGATTATTCCACGAAAACGGGAAATTTTGGATCTCACAGCTGCGTTGTTTTGTACAGATTGTGAATCCATTTTTGAGTTGACTGCATTGGAAGCTATATTTTGATTTATTTTCTCATCTCAGTGAAATTTCCTCACCACTGAGAGGAACAAACGTTTCTTACCCTGAGAAATAAATTACTTATGAACATCTAGCAATAAGCAAGTATTCACGTCACATCCTGGGCGTTAGTGGTCTTCCCGTACCTAACACCGCCTTTGCTATCCAGTAGAACACAATGGTGCATAAATTCGGTTATGGTCAATGTAGATATTAACCTGGCACATGCATTTCGCCAACGTGAGGTTATTTTTTTCTTTCTTATTGGTTGTGTGGCTCTCTGGAAGAGGGTTTGATTCCCAATCCAATGGACCGCAGTTCGAGTCCCGTGTTGGCCGAGGTGTAAGTCACCTTAAGCCTGCTGGTCATGTTCAATATACCGTTAAGTGGATACCTGAGTGTTAGTTGTTCATTATAGCATTGTCAGGGAGGACCCCCAGGGAAAATAAATCATAATAGTTGACTTGATCAATGTATCATAGGTTAACAATCCTCGCGGGATAAATAATCCTAAGGATGCATGAAACGATGACTTGATCCGTGGAAGATATTCAAAAGTAAAAAAAGACAGACATTTTAATATCATGAAAAGCCTAATAATATGCAATAATATTATTAATTATAATTAATAATACTATTATTAAAGGGGATGTGCTCCAGACCCATCATTCACTTGGGTTGGAATTTGTAAAGAGTGTAGGTCAATATTTTTTATGTGCGGTCATATGTTGGGCTAATCAATGAGATGTTGGGTAAAAGGACACAAGTGCAACTAATATGACATTTTATTGTGGCAACGTTTCGCTCTCCAGGAGCTTTGTCAAGCTGTTACGGCTTGGCAAAGCTCTTGGAGCTTTGCCTTCTTACCTAACATATTATTATCATTATTATTATCATTATTATTATCATCAAGGAGAGTTGTACCGCTTTTTAACTGTTAGTTCTATCTTCTCCACTATTAAGAATTAATTAATAACCCGGGCTTCCATAGACTCTCCCCAAAGGCAAATACAATCTGTCTAAAACTGTGATGTAAGTACCAGGGCATGTATGGTGGGTTACTCTGAGTGTTGATAGCAGGGATGGCAAAACTCAGGGTAAACTGCTCTGCAAGTCTAAATCCCCTCAAAGAAGGGTCCTTGATGCTGGTGAGGGGCTCTTGATTTAGGGAATTGGATCTGTGCTCCAGTTCCCTGAATTAAGCCTGAATACCTTCCACATCCCCCCCCTTGATAATAATAATAATAATAATAATAATGCAAGTCTAAATAATGTCCTCGTGGACTACAACCTTGACAAGGAACTGTAACAGTATGATAAGAGTACCCGTGAGTACGACCATTTAGTTTTGGTCTCTCCTTCCCCACCATTAATATATTACCCCATTTCTGTATAGGGATCTTTGCGAATTATATTCATTGTAGTAATAAAATTTTTTAAACAAGAGTAAACTCTTGAAATTGTTGAAGTTAGTTTAATATGTTTATTATGCACCCCATACCCATCCTGTGGGCGGTAGTCAAAAGATTACAGAGGTACATAATTGGTCCAGGGACTGGACTCCAAAGTTTTGATAGCTGAGCAAGTTACAGAGGTAATGAATTCACAATTTACAAAGGTAATGAACTCACAATTTACAAAGGTAATGAACTCACAATTTACAAAGGTAATGAACTCCAGGTAGGTCTGGTCACAATCATGTCAAGTTACAAAGGTATTTACAGATTACAGAGGTACGTAATGGGTCCAGGGACTGGGCCCCCAAAGTTTTGATAGCTGAACTAGGTACAAAGGTAATGAGCTCACAAGTTACAAAGGGAATGAATACTGTAAGAATGGTTACTTACGTTTATACATGGCTGCAATCATGAACAAATTATAGTGTAATGAGCAATTCACACTTCCACACCCGGTCACAACTGTAATGAGTTATTGGTGCAAATATTGATTGTTGAGTCACACACACACACCACACACCACACACACACACACACACACACACACACACACACACACACACACACACACACACACACACACACACACACACACACACACGCACGCAACCACAAATAGGTGAGTACACACACAGACACACACAGACAGACAGACAGACAGACAGACACACACACACACACACACACACACACACACACACACACACACACACACACACACACACACACACACACACACACACACACACACACACACACACACACACACACACACTTTAGTTTAATATCTTTATTATGCACCTCATACCCATCCTGTGGGCGGTAGTCAAAAGATTACAAAGGTACATAATGGGTCCAGTGACTGGACCCCAAAGTTATGATAGCTGAACTAGTTACAAAGGTAATGAACTCCAGGTAGATCTGGTCACAATCATGGCAAGTTACAGAGGTAATGAATCAGCCTCACTCCTATACATGGTTACAGTCATGAACAAATTACAAAGTAATGAACCACTGATACGTCCACACCTGGTCACAATTGTAATGAGTTATAAATACAAATATTAAGTGGTTCATACACCCACACTAGCGCGCGCGCGCACACACATACACACACCAGGGCGCACGCATGGACATGTGCACACGAGCTTACAAATATATGCATACACACAAGGACACTTTCGTAATACTTTCGTCTTCAAGTCTCTTCTACTTCTATCAACTTTTCTGTACTCGACTGAAGAAGCCTACTGTGTAGGCGAAACGTTTCGAAATAAAGACACCTAACTGTTGCATATGGGTATTTTATACTTTCGTAATGCTTTTCTAAACCTCTTAAGAGTAGTGTCAGGAGACACTTCTTCTGTCTCCTGACGAATATTATAACAACAAATCTTTTTAATCTATGTAACAAATATGTTTTTCAAGGGGTGGATGGGTAAGACAGAGGAAGGTCTCGGTCAGATGCCCAAAAGTTCCATGGCGGTCATGTAACTATGGCCCCAAGACAGGAGACAATTGTCCTATTTACTGACGAGTGCTACTTAACCTAAACTTATTGATTCCGGTTCCCTACTTTATTATATTATGCGTGTTTATTATAATAAAAGTATATTGATAAGGATAAGTGATTGGTCGAGCAAAGATAACAACTAACTATATTAATAATAATTAAGTCATGGGTGCATTTAAGGTGACACCTAAGTATCGGATTTACACCGGAGAATATAAAGATAATCCGCATTGATCCGAGGAAGGGGAAGGAATCCCCCAGCTTCATGGATCAAGAGCCCTTCACCAGCATCCAGACACCTTCAAGAAATATCATAGTTACCCCAAGAACATGTAACATTGCCATTCCAAAAGTACACAACTTCTCCGAAAAAATTTCTCGTTATAAAAAAATAAAATAACTACCCTAAAATAAATTATTAAATTAAACATTTTTATTGAGCACAAAAAAATCGTGTCTAGAAAGAGAATGACGTAAAGATTACTGAGAATCACTACATGTTTACAACATTTCCTCAAGAATACAACGAGCTGCGTAAACGACAGAAATAAATCGTGTATCATCGTATATACCTCCTATTAAAGGCCCGAGCTTGCTACCATCTGCAGCTCATAAGACTGCCATCCCCACGAGCCCCTTTGAGGCGGGGTAGATGGCAGACCAGAGGCCTAGCTTCTCCCTACGAGCCCCGTGAGGGCGGGGACTGTGGCTAGGCCTGGGGACACTTGGTCCCAAAGATGAGGAGGTACTTATACCTCCTCCCATGGGAGACTTAAGTCTCGAGACACTCCCCAGATAGGGAGCCAAGGCCGGGTCACCACTACTTGGAAAAGACCCGGGCCGGGAGAATACCGGCGAAAAAAAAAAAAATATACATCCTATACTTTTAAATCTAACAAACTGAGTGTATGAATGTCAGATATCTAAGTTCCCATTGTTATCTTTCTATTTAAGTTAACTTTATTATCTTTCTAAAAACCATCTGATCACTATCTTAATCAATATTCTGTAACAATCTTTAGTCTAGTTTGATTTAATCTATTAAAAGCCTCCAGCCTCTTGCAAAACTATGTAGTGCAGTTTTTCGTATATAAGAATGGATAAAAATTATAACACATATTTTAAAGGACTTATCATGCGCTAATAAATTTTGGATAAACAGATTTCAAAATCGCATTTGCGAAAAATTGGATTATGTCGACAAGTTTTATAACAGAGGTGACTGTCAGTGACCTTTCAGATTAAATATTATGTTTATAACATAATTTTCTAAGGGGTGGAAGGGTAAGCCAGTGGAAGGCCTCGGTCAGATGACCAAAAGCTCCAGCTGTGGGTCTTCATATGACTAAGACCCGCGTCAGGAAACACTTGTCCTGTTTCCTGACCAAGCTTAGTTACCCTAATGCCCTTTCAGAGTAATCCTCTCTTATGTGCATACAAGCGATCATCCACAGCCTGACTGGTCACAGACCAAGGTGAGATTACTGGGCGTAGGATCGCATCACCACATATTGCCTTGAAGAACTCACAAGGGTTTAGCGCCTCGTGTAAGAGAAATCAAATATTTTCTTTACATAGATCCAGCGCTGTGTCCTAAACTGAGGATTCGAACCCACGTTGTTTGTAGCCAGCCTCATGGTGAGCGAAAATTCCGACGCTCTAACCCACAGGACCATACAATCCTACAAGAATCACGCACCCAGCAGAGCTAGGTGTTGTACCGTGATCCAAGGACATTCGATGGTGTGTGTGCTTCAGAGCTAATTTCATCCTCCTCCCCGTTTGGTGTACTAGCCTCCACGAACAGTATTTTATATTATTGTAACCACGAACAAGTTGTATTTAATAACAACAGTGCGACTAGCCGAGGAGTCGGGTTAAAACAACATGGGTTCGAATCCTCGGCTAGTCGCAGTGTTGTTATTGATTAAATACTACGTGTTCGTGGATACAATATATATATATATATATATATATATATATATATATAATATATAATATTTTATATAAAATATATATATATATATATATATAATTGTACCCACGAAACGAGTGGTATTGATGAATAACAACACTGCACTAGCAAAAGAATCGAACCCATGTTGCTTTGGCCCCTCTCATCGAGAGCGAGAACGCATGACGCCTTAGACCACTAAACCACACAGTTTTTAACAATGGTGCAGTATGGTACAATATGGTACAATAAGGTACAATCTGGTACAATAATATAATATACTGCTTGTTGAGCTGGTACACAAACAGGGAGTAGAAAGAAATTAACTCAGAGGCGTCCACACCACCGTATGTCCTTCGATGGTGGGTACAACATCTAGCTTGGCTGGATGCACCATTGTTAAGCATTGTGTGGTCTAGTGGTCTAAGGCGTCATGCGTTTTCGCTCATCATGAATTTCTTCATTTATTTTACTTTAAATGCCCGTTATGTATTGTATAAATGTTTGTCCTATAAGTTTTGAATCTTGGAGTTATCAGTCAACTCCCTCTGTGGTTATTTTGCATCTTTTATAGCTTTTTCGAGATTACTACACACACATGAGGATGGAAATCTTTAGCTTTAGATCTTTCGCACTCTCGTGCGTCGTCAGGAGCTATGCAATGTTGCAAAATATCAACATATAGAAGAAATTCTCTGAGGCAAGACAGAGGTATCAGTGGTCGCCCGTGTCACAGTGTATTGATGTAATGGGAGGTGGTCATACATGATCCAGGACTGGAAAGCCTAGCTCAAGTTTTCTTGGATGGAGATTTTTTCCCAGCAGTTATTTGCCTAGAATGATCACAGAGCAGAGCCACTCAAGCCCGTTCTTACAAGTATAAAAGTGGCAGGTGCTGTTGTCTAATAATTTATGTACGCCTGCAGGCACTTAGAAAGGGGAAAATATGTAATATATATTTTTTTTATTTTTTTATTATCACACCGGCCGATTCCCACCAAGGCAGGGTGGCCCGAAAAAGAAAAACTTTCACCATCATTCACTCCATCACTGTCTTGCCAGAAGGGTGTTTTAAACACTACAGTTTTTAAACTGCAACATTAACACCCCTCCTTCAGAGTGCAGGCACTGTACTTCCCATCTCCAGGACTCAAGTCCGGCCTGCCGGTTTCCCTGAATCCCTTCATAAATGTTACTTTGCTCACACTCCAACAGCACGTCAAGTATTAAAAACCATTTGTCTCCATTCACTCCTATCAAACACGCTCAAGCATGCCTGCTGGAAGTCCAAGCCCCTCGCACACAAAACCTCCTTTACCCCCTCCCTCCAACCCTTCCTAGGCCGACCCCTACCCCGCCCTTTCCCTTTCCCCTACAGACTGATACACTCTTGAAGTCATTCTGTTTCGCTCCATTCTCTCTACATGTCCGAACCACCTCAACAACCCTTCCTCAGCCCTCTGGACAACAGTTTTGGTAATCCCGCACCTCCTCCTAACTTCCAAACTACGAATTCTCTGCATTATATTCACACCACACATTGCCCTCAGACATGACATCTCCACTGCCTCCAGCCTTCTCCTCGCTGCAACATTCATCACCCACGCTTCACACCCATATAAGAGCGTTGGTAAAACTATACTCTCATACATTCCCCTCTTTGCCTCCAAGGACAAAGTTCTTTGTCTCCACAGACTCCTAAGTGCACCACTCACTCTTTTTCCCTCATCAATTCTATGATTCACCTCATTTTTCATAGACCCATCCGCTGAAAACTCACTCCCAAATATCTGAATACGTTCACCTCCTCCATACTCTCCCTCCAATCTGATATTCAATCTTTCATCACCTAATCTTTTTGTTATCCTCATAACCTTACTCTTTCCTGTATTCACCTTTAATTTTCTTCTTTTGCACACCCTACCAAATTCATCCACCAATCTCTGCAACTTCTCTTCAGAATCTCCCAAGAGCACAGTGTCATCAGCAAAGAGCAGCTGTGACAACTCCCACTTTGTGTGTGATTCTTTATCTTTTTAACTCCACGCCTCTTGCCAAGACCCCGCATTACTTCTCTTACAACCCCATCTATAAATTTATTAAACAACCACGGTGACATCACACATCCTTGTCTAAGGCCTACTTTTACTGGGAAAAAATTTCCCTCTTTCCTACATACTCTAACTTGAGCCTCACTATCCTCGTAAAAACTCTTCACTGCTTTCATAACCTACCTCCTACACCATACACTTGCAACATCTGCCACATTGCCCCCTATCCACCCTGTCATAAGCCTTTTCCAAATCCATAAATGCCACAAAGACCTCTTTAGCCTTATCTAAATACTGTTCACTTATATGTTTCACTGTAAACACCTGGTCCACACACCCCCTACCTTTCCTAAAGCCTCCTTGTTCATCTGCATCCTATTTCTCCGTCTTACTCTTAATTCTTTCAATTATAACTCTACCATACACTTTACCAGGTACACTCAACAGACTTATCCCCCTATAATTTTTTGCACTCTCTTTTATCCCCTTTGCCTTTATACAAAGGAACTATGCATGCTCTCTGCCAATCCTAGGTACCTTACCCTCTTCCATACATTTATTAAACAATTGCACCAACCACTCCAAAACTATATCCCCACCTGCTTTTAACATTTCTATCTTTATCCCATCAATCCGGCTGCCTTACCCCCTTTCATTTTACCTACTGCCTCACGAACTTCCCCCCACACTCACAACTGGCTCTTCCTCACTCCTACAAGATGTTATTCCTCCTTGCCCTATACACGAAATCACAGCTTCCCTATCTTCATCAACATTTAACAATTCCTCAAAATATTCCTTCCATCTTCCCAATACCTCTAACTCTCCATTTAATAACTCTCCTCTCCTATTTTTAACTGACAAATCCATTTGTTCTCTAGGCTTTCTTAACTTGTTAATCTCACTCCAAAACTTTTTCTTATTTTCAACAAAATTTGTTGATAACATCTCACCCACTCTCTCATTTGCTCTCTTTTTACATTGCTTCACCACTCTCTTAACCTCTCTCTTTTTCTCCATATACTCTTCCCTCCTTGCATCACTTCTACTTTGTAAAAACTTCTCATATGCTAACTTTTTCTCCCTTACTACTCTCTTTACATCATCATTCCACCAATCGCTCCTCTTCCTCCTGCACCCACTTTCCTGTAACCACAAACTTCTGCTGAACACTCTAACACTACATTTTTAAACCTACCCCATACCTCTTCGACCCATTGCCTATGCTCTCATTAGCCCATCTCTATCCTCCAATAGCTGTTTATATCTTACCCTAACTGCCTCCTCTTTTAGTTTATAAACCTCACCTCTCTCTTCCCTGATGCTTCTATTCTCCTTGTATCCCATCTACCTTTTACTCTCAGTGTAGCTACAACTAGAAAGTGATCTGATATATCTGTGGCCCCTCTATAAACATGTACATCCTGAAGTCTACTCAACAGTCTTTTATCTACCAATACATAATCCAACAAACTACTGTCATTTCGCCCTACATCATATCGTGTATACTTATTTATCCTCTTTTTCTTAAAATATGTATTACCTATAACTAAAACCCCTTTCTATACAAAGTTCAATCAAAGGGCTCCCATTATCATTTACACCTGGCACCCCAAACTTACCTACCACACCCTCTCTAAAAGTTTCTCCTACTTTAGCATTCAAGTCCCCTACCACAATTACTCTCTCACTTGGTTCAAAGGCTCCTATACATTCACTTAACATCTCCCAAAATCTCTCTCTCTCCTCTGCATTCCTCTCTTCTCCAGGTGCATACACGCTTATTATGACCCACTTCTCGCATCCAACCTTTACTTTAATCCACATAATTTCTTGAATTTACACATTCATATTCTCTTTTCTCCTTCCATAACTGATCATTTAACATTACTGCTACCCCTTCCTTTGCTCTAACTCTCTCAGATACTCCAGATTTAATCCCATTTATTTCCCCCCACTGAAACTCTCCTACCCCCTTCAGCTTTGTTTCGCTTAGGGCCAGGACATCCAACTTCTTTTCATTCATAACATCAGCAATCATCTGTTTCTTGTCATCCGCACTACATCCACGCACATTTAAGCAACCCAGTTTTATAAAGTTTTTCTTCTTCTCTTTTTTAGTAATTGTATACAGGAGAAGGGGTTACTAGCCCATTGCTCCCGGCATTTAGTCGCCTCATACGACACGCATGGCTTACGGAGGAAAGATTCTTTTCCACTTCCCCATGGACAATAGAAGAAATAAAAAGAACAAGAGCTATTTAGAAAAAGGAGAAAAACCTAGATGTATGTATATATATATATGCATGTGCGTGTCTGTGAAGTGTGACCAAAGTGTTAGTAGGAGTAGCAAGATATCCCTGTTATCTTAGCGTGTTTATGAGACAGAAATATATATATATATATATATATATATATATATATATATAATATATATATATATATATATATATATGTCGTGCCGAATATGTAAAACTGGTCAATTAGCAAGAACTCATTTAAAATTAAGTCCTTTCTGAATTTTTTTCTTATACGTTTAAAGATATATTTTTTTCATTAAGGTTAATATAAAAATGTTTAATTTTGCACCAAAAGAATCTTGGAAAACTTACCTAACCTTATTATAACAAGAGCAATTTATTTTAGTCTAACCCAACGAAATATATTTTAAATACGTTTACAATAATTTAGTACTAAACAAACACAATCAAATATATTTTTTTCGTTAGGTTCAGAATGATTTTGGCGAAATTATTGCATACACAAATTTTCACTTGTGCTATTTGGCAAGATGAGCGTTGCTATTTAAGCCAAGATCGCAAGTTCTGCCTATTCGGCACGACATATATATATATATATATATATATATATATATATATATATATATATATATATATATATATATATATATATATATATATATATATATATATATATGAATACTTCACTAGATATACGTAAATGAAACAAAAACATTCTCGGAATCTTTATTAACAAGATATACAAAATGTAATTTGGAATGTCAACACATCCGTATATACAGAATAAAAATCACATTACAATACTTACCAACACAAACATGCAGTACACAAGTGATGATAGCTGATGTCACCCGATAACCTCACCCATCATCCCCCTGGGGGACACTGTATTTTATATCTTGTAATAAGATAAAACAAAGGTAAATACTTATACCAGGCCTCAACCTCTGCCTGGTGATTTATTCGTCATGTTTATGTCAAAATAAGAAGTCTCCCTCTGAGGTTATGATATGGTGGTGTATAGTTTAAAGTTAGTATTATAGCCTATCCACTGTACATGAATCTTTAAATATGGCTGTAATTCACCTGAAAAAATTATTAATCACCAGGACTCCTATTCAAAATATATAAGATACATACCCACTGTGTGTTTCAGTGTATGTATGCACATCACGATTTACATATCATCTTTCTCCATATTATAGTTTAGTTACCTGAAAGACGTTTTGGGGGGTCAACGCCCCCCGCCCCAGACCAGGCATCCTGGTGGATCAGGGCCTGATCGACCAGGCTGTTACTGCTGACCGCTCGCAGTCCGACGTACAAACCACAGCTCGGCTGGTCAGGAACTGATCGAGTTCTCTCTTGAAGACAGCCAGGGTCTGTTTTTCAATTCTATTTTAAAACTTGAATAGGATGAATTTAAGTAGACTCTCAGCATATATATATATATATATATATATATATATATATATATATATATATATATATATATATATATATATATATATATATATATATATATATATATATAATACGGTGAGCCACACACATCTTAGTGTATAAACAAGTAAGTGTAAACCATTCTCCTGATGACATGATGATTCCACTGTTGAGTGTTGAATCTGAAATTTTTGAGTATTCTTATTGAATTCTAGAACCCCTGTCCTATTACTGAAAATAAAAATGAAGATGGGTAACACACTCAAGCTTCATAGCAAGAGCCTAGCACCAGGTTACCGCTGCCTAAATCAGAAAGCCAGAAACCGGAGGCCTGACTTTCTCATACACCTACCCCTGAACTGGCCTCATACCAGAACAAGACGAGGCTGTAAGCATTATCACAGTATAGCACGTGAATACATTAATGACATATGTTTAAATTTGTGAATTTATCGCATGTGGAAGTAACTGAATGTTGTACTTCGCTACATAAAGCTTATGTAGTTTATGGCGTACTATAGATGTGTTTGTCTTATACAGGAGTGTCTTCGTGCTCCATCTGACGTTTGCGAGCTAGAGGATCATCCTCTTCAGGTTGGCAGTAGGAGTGATAGGTGTTGTCGTTGTCATCACTGTCCTTGCACCCCAGCGCCGTCAGGAGCACTTCCTGGAAGTTACATGCGTCGAGATTGCGACCCAAGATATCCAGAAGAAAGTAGTCGCCCAGATGGAGGAGTCGAACCTCCCGTTCCACTTCTGGTGTGGCTGAGATCTTTCCTCGACGCTCCAGGACTCTGACACGCAGGACGGGGCTGCAAGCGATAGCTAGGCGCCACACAATCTATAACAAGTTAGCCTATATAAATATATGAATGGAAATGGCTAAGTGTGAGTAGACCCCTCCTTAGACATGGGCCAATAGATAGACCTACTGCAGTGCTCCTCTATTACGCTGACATTTGTTTTTTTACGGAATGGACTAGTCAGGAGATGACCTGAGCCAAATGATGTAAATCTCTACTGAACGGATATCCATATGACAAAAAACTGTGTCTGGAAAAATTTTCATCTTTCTCGTGACAAAGAAAATGCCACTATTTCTCACCTGTATGGCGGTGAAGGTGGCAAGGATGACGAACCAAAACCACATTGTGATGAAGACCTTCTCGTTTAACATATTCTGCGGGAGGATGCAGGCCGCATCACGACGCTCCACAGATCCCGAGGGACCGTACTTGTAGAAGTCACACTTTGTAACTCTGGGGAAGGTCGTAATCAAGGGGTCGTGCATCCCATCATCTTCATCCTCTACCATGTACTTCAATACCTATGGAAATAAGGAGTACCGACGCTATAAATATTTAGAAGATGGCTAATATTGACTTTAACTCCTTGCCAGTATATAAACACCTTAGGGAGTATATTTCAGTGTATATACACTAAGATATGCACCGGAAGATAAATAACACTGACAAATTATTTCCTTTATGTTATGAACATGTGAAATGCAGCCTTAATGAGCCTATTGCAGTCTATGGACTTTAAATTTAACACATCAACAATGAAAATAATAAGATTTTTGTATATACATAGCGTCATGTAGCCTGGTTAAACTCTTTGCATTAATAAATATAATACTATTTTTTTTACCTGAGTCCCGTAGGTCATGAAGACGCCACCGAAGAAAGTGTCCAGGAGAAACATTTGACCAATAACGTTGATAAAGTTGAGAGTCTCACATATAATGTACACTGAAAAGTACCTTCCATTACGACCCCAGGATGACTGTAAGTACCTGTGGAAGACACAGGGTGGGATCTGTAACATAAGCCACATAATTCATGATACCTACTTCAAGAGTAGATATGATAGGTTTTGGAGGGCCAGGGATCAGTAAAACCAGTCCATGAGAGTACACCAGGAGGGCAAGGAGTTGATGGATCGACCCTTGCAAACCGACAGTTGATCAACGAGACATTTTAGCAACAGTTAGGTATCTTCATTTTGCCCACTGGCTGGCGAAACGTTTCTAGAATAAAGATACCTAAGTATTGCTCAAGTGTCTCATATCAACTAGAAGAATACAACTAGGTTAGTACACAAACTGGTTACATAACCTCCGACAATACTACCATTATAATACATTGCGTACAGCATACATAATATACCTAAGTCCTTGTAAATTGATTCACAACTAATGTACTGCAGGAATTTGAAATTAAAAGATATTTCGGACATTTTTGTGCAATTATTAAATAAATCAAAGCTTAATAATGGTCCAGTACTGAAAAATGGGTACGCCGCCTGGTTTCCGTTTTCCAATTCGCACATTAGTTGTCAATTGTTCCAGCTACGGTAAAATAATCTCTTATATCCTCTGAATCATCACAAGGTAAGTGATAATCTTAATTTTTAAAGTGGTGGATGGGTAAGCTAGCGGAAGGCCTCGGTCAGGCGACTAAAAGTTCCTGGAAATACGTCCTGTTTACTGGCGAATTTTGCCTAACCTAACAAGGTAAACAAATGTCAGGAGGAAATTACTTACTTGACAATGTTATTTCTCTTCACTTCGCGATCGTCGTCCATGGAGTTGAACTGGAGTCCCTGAAGGAGGGTGTCTGCTGTCTTGCCCTCACTGGCCTTCCACATGAGATGAGGCAGATAGAAGAGGCATCCCTGAAAGTGATGCCAAGTGCCACTCGTCAGGCAAGCAATTATTATACATGATAATAAACTACAAGACCGAGCCGGGGAAAAGTGAAAAGGCGAGGAGGTGATACAATAACTCTTATGTCGTACATTCCTAGGAACCATCATCCTGTATTATTATTATTATTATTATTATTATTATTATTATTATTATTATTATTATTATTATTGGTACTTGGGTACTATCTACCAGGAGAAAGACTAGAGAAGAGACGTTGCTTTACCTGGAAGAAGAGAACGAATGGGACCCACTGGTAGTAGGCATGATAGGTCTTAGTATGTCTGATCGGGTCGTAAGTCCCCGTACCTTCAAAATTACTTCCACGATGGCTGTAGTGAGATCCATCAGCTGAGAAACAGACTTCAGTTAACTTCCAGCCCCAAAAAGATCACAGTCATTATAACACAAATAACCTGCATACAGGAGAGCGGAAAGCTTTTCTCTTTCCTACGTGCTGGTTATTTGTGTATTGTTCCAGTCACGATATTGTGCTTTTTTGTTCTTCAGTCATTATAATAATTAAACAAAAAGAGGTAATTCCATGCCATGTAACTTCGAAGCTTAAAAAACTCACTGTTGGTGGTGTTTATGGTAAAAGTGGACATAATCCAGCAGTAGGTGTTGATGGGTTTAGGTGCTGGGGCGCCTGAGCCTTCATAGCACTGGATAGCTTTGCCGATGTAGTCTGAAGCAGCCACCAGGGCACAGGCTAAGTAGCAGAAAGTGGTAGTCCAGCGATAGTGCAGTCTGAACACGTAGTTATCAATGTTAGTGTGTAGGAGACGGACTTTAACTAGACCCACCAGAGAAGCAACGATACCTAACACCATGCTGGAGAAATAAAAATTATTATTATTATTATTATTAATATTATTAATGGTGTTGTTGTTGCTGGTTAATTGCATTTAAAGCCTATCGACTATACGAGGGTCATTATAGTTGCGCACAACCTGTACACTACTTGTTAAAAATATTTTTAACCATAAAGTTGAAAGCAAACTTGTATATACGGTGAGGTATATTTATGTAATGTTGATGTATTAATATTATTAATATAATTAGTGATACTTGATAAACCAGTGGACATAATACGATGCTATAAAATAAGGAAATGAAATTAGTACAAATAACAACTACAAAAAAAAAAAATTCAATTTCTTCACTGATCTTATAAATCTTTTCAAAAATTTTAGTATTTTTAATTCTTTTGGGAACTTATATAAATTTATATTTACACAATATTACATCAATATCTATATTTTTTCCTAGACTGCTGTAAAGACGTTTTTAATCACTGCGTTTATCATATATGTATCTTTTGTTATGAATTAAATAACGTTTAATTCATAACAAATTGGAATTCTATTACTGAGTCTCGTAGAGTCAGTTATAAGTTACTTAAATTTTATCTAACAGAGGATATCCGGCGGGTATCTCTGGGCGACGCTGTTCACCTAACAAGCTTCAACTGCCTCATAAATTAAGGTCAGGTTACGTTTCGGTCCCTCCTGGACCGAAACGTCTCCATAGTTTTATCTCCGAGTTCTGGATTAGTTGTGAAATTGTTCTAGGCACAACGCTGTGACTCGATCCTCCCCGTCAGTCTTCACTATTCTTTATATTAAAACGTAAGATATAGAATAATTCCATTCTTAGCTAAAGCAAATCAGTTGAGACTGTGTTGTAACTTTTCATTCCTGCGGTTGGGAGTATTTTAGTCCCGGAGGTGGGAAATACAGCGGCTGTACTCTGAAGGATGGGAGGGTATGTTGTGGCACTGAAGGTAGATGGTACAGCGGCTGTACTCTGAAGGATGGGAGGGTATGTTGTGGCACTGAAGGTAGATAGTACAATGGCTGTACTCTGAAGGATGGGAGGGTATGTTGTGGCACTGAAGGTAGATAGTACAGTGCCTGTACTCTGAAAAATGGGAGGGTATGTTGTGATTCTAGCCTGTAATCTGATGGATCTGTAATCTGAAGTTCTTAGAAGGTCATTTGAACTGCGTCTGACATCTAGTTACCGTACCCCAGGGTATTTACTTACATATTACCAAGGTGCAACAGTCAACACGATCACTGGTATACATTCTGAGGCATATATCTGTCTTGTTGTGCCTGCATTACAATCGACAGTTCATATGCACTTAGGTGCATTTCTCAGTATGTATCCACGTACTTAAATTCCTGTAATAAGGAATAAGATATTGTTGACCAGTTGTGTTACAGGTGACGAGCTTTAATGATCCTCGTATATGGGTTTAAAGCCTAATTAACCAGTCATCAACATAACCATGATTCACTTCACTGCATATTGAAACATAATGGCAGATATAGTGCAATGAAAGCTTTAAATATCAACAGAAGGACACTAATTAGACCTCCTGGTCTACTCAATATGTAAAGTGACGTCATTTGAGATATATTTGCACAAATTTTCACAAATCTCGCTGTAAACAAACCTTTTGTTAGTTGGGAGGGAACTTGATTCGAGATTAGTAGACAGTTACTCAGGATGCTGAGTGTATGCGCCAGTTTTCCCTCTTTAAGAGTGGATTGGTGTCGACGACAGCACAACTGCTCTCCTCTGTGTCTTCCACACTTCTAATTGTCTTTTCAAGTGCCTCTCTACTCTTTGAGCTCTACCATGACGTTACTCCTTTCCAAGAGCTCAGTCACAAGTTGCAAGATTATGTTAAAGAAATGTGAGCTGTGTGTCCAGCCTAGAGCAAAAGCCTTGCCATAAGTAGGCTGAAGTGTATCTGACACGGCCTCTAAGTGAGTTTAAAATATAGAAAGTTGGTATCTAGTGTAGGTGTTTTCATTTAGAAATATGTATCTAGCAGTCAGTGCCTACATGAGAGACTTTATGTCATGTCCGGTGTAGCTGGGCTTTCCACTGGTCCCTGAAATACAAAGATAATGAACTTTATTGAAATTTGACATTATATGCAAATTTGCATTAATGTCAAAAGCATAAATAAATAATTGATCAGTTTGATTTCAAGATTTTCTTCGTGATAAATTCTTACTGGGTAACATTATTAAATTAAATCCGTTCTTATTATTTAATTAAATCTGTTGTTATTATTTAATTAAATCTATAATCATTGTGTTTTAAATTACCATAATTTATATTCATTGAAAAAATAATGTTCTTAAAATGCATTATAAAAGTTGCATTGTCAGTTTTTCAGTATATCTCTGCAACACTTGCAGTGTCATGCATTATCTTATTACTTTATAATGCTATTATTACTTTACAATGCTATTATTACTTTACGATGCTATTATTACTTTACAATGCTATTATTACTTTACAATGCTATTATTACTTTACAATGCTATTATTACTTTACAATGCTATTATTACTTTACAATGCTATTATTACTTTACAATGCTATTATTACTTTACAATGCTATTATTACTTTACAATGCTATTATTACTTTACAATGCTATTATTACTTTACAATGCTATTATTACTTTACAATGCTATTATTACTTCGCAATGCTATTATTACTTTACAATGCTATTATTACTTTACAATGCTATTATTACTTTGCCTTGTCCTGTTGCACTTGTAGTGTTTCCTGACAAACTTTAACTAACCTAAACCATCATATAATACACAGATAACCTGCACATAGGAGACTGAAACTTATGACGACGTTTCGGTCCGACTTGGACCATTAACTAGTTACACATGTTGATAAATTAGACATGTGCAACACCCGAGTGTTGCACATGTGTCTAATTCATTAACTTTCTGGTTCTTTGAACCATTTATCTATAGTAACATTAGTTAATGGTCCAAGTCGGACCGAAACGTCGTCACAAGTTTCGGTCTCCTATGAGACCTATGAGGGCATAAAGAGCGACATCGGCAAGTTTGCCGATGACACCAAAATAGGCCGTCGAATTCATTCTGATGAGGACATTCGAGCACTCCAGGAAGATTTGAATAGACTGATGCAGTGGTCGGAGAAGTGGCAGATGCAGTTTAATATAGACAAATGCAAAGTTCTAAATGTTGGACAGGACAATAACCATGCCACATATAAACTAAATAATGTAGATCTTAATAATACGGATTGCGAAAAAGATTTAGGAGTTCTGGTTAGCAGTAATCTGAAACCAAGACAACAGTGCATAAGTGTTCGCAATAAAGCTAATAGAATCCTTGGCTTCATATCAAGAAGCATAAATAATAGGAGTCCTCAGGTTGTTCTTCAACTCTATACATCCTTGGTTAGGCCTCATTTAGATTATGCTGCACAGTTTTGGTCACCGTATTACAGAATGGATATAAATTCTCTGGAAAATGTACAAAGGAGGATGACAAAGTTGATCCCATGTATCAGAAACCTTCCCTATGAGGATAGACTAAGGGCCCTGAAACTGCACTCTCTAGAAAGACGTAGAATTAGGGGGGATATGATTGAGGTGTATAAATGGAAGACAGGAATAAATAAAGGGGATGTAAATAGTGTGCTGAAAATATCTAGCCTAGACAGGACTCGCAGCAATGGTTTTAAGTTGGAAAAATTCAGATTCAGGAAGGATATAGGAAAGTACTGGTTTGGTAATAGAGTTGTGGATGAGTGGAACAAACTCCCAAATACCGTTATAGAGGCCAGAACGTTGTGTAGCTTTAAAAATAGGTTGGATAAATACATGAGTAGATGTGGGTGGGTGTGAGTTAGACCTGATAGCTTGTGCTACCAGGTCGGTTGCCGTGTTCCTCCCTTAAGTCAATGTGACCTGACCTGACTAGGTTGGGTGCATTGGCTTAAGCCGGTAGGAGACTTGGACCTGCCTTGCATGGGCCAGTAGGCCTTCTGCAGTGTTCCTTCGTTCTTATGTTCTTATGTTCTTATGTGCGGGTTATTTGTGTACTGTTGCAGTCACGGTGTTGTGACTTTGTGCCATCTATCACAGTTTACACACAAGATAAAGAAAGATCTCTCCGCCTGAGCTGTGAGCCTTCAGTGATAATGATATCATCAAGCATCCCTTATGAATAACCAGGAGTCATTGTGTTGCTTCCTGACCAACGTACCGCCTCCATTACCAAGTCTGTTAGTGGGATGGATTGTGAAGGATCTGCCTACTATGGGCCAATAGGCCTGCTGCAGTGTTCCTCCTTTCTTATGTTCTTATGTTAGTTGTATAGTGACAGCCACCCTGCAGAATTAAACAGCGTGGGTTGGGCATGTCAACGCTTTTAAGGGACTACGATGGGGCTCTTAGGAATTGTGGTCGAATTATTCGAATATACAACTTGCACGTGAGTTATTAAGGTTATTAAGGCTTATTCCTTGGGTAGCATTGAGAATGGGTTGGATAAATATTTTGTTAGTGGGTTTGAGAAGAACCTGCCTGGTATGGGCCAGTAAGCCTGCTGCAGTGTTCCTCCTTTCCTATGTTCTTATACCTGACAGGTAATATTTGTCTTGGTCTTATACTTCAAAAAAATTTTGCTAAAGCCCTGAGAACCGCTTACTAAGGTAATGGGTTTGTTTGGTAGAAAACAGGACAACGTCTCCTGACACAAGTCTTTGTCAGTTATCGAACCTTGAAGTAATCAGCCAACTGCTGGCCCACAGGACTTCAGTTTTCATCAAATTTAGTAAACATGGGATCACTTCTCAATAGTCCGAAGATGGTTCTAAATACAGGCTCGAAAGATTTCTTCTGAATATACTTTTAGTTTTCCTGCTTTGTTTACAGGAGCATTATTATCCTGCAACATAAAAATACATGCTTTATTTTTTTTTTCTTCGAGGCGAGGATGTAGTGTATGACAGCTGACAGTGCTGACGGGAGCAAACCCTGTGTCTGTAATGAGTGACGAAGCAGCTCTCATAAACGTTGAGTTTCCTGTCTGCCACTCCTTCGTGTATTTTTGTGGTAGTCCTTCCTCTTGTTTCATAACCGGTAGCGCTGACGTAGTGCAGTTGAACGTCTCGGGAAGTTTAGTGTATCGTAGTTTTCTTTCCCCGTTCATGGCCTTCGAATTTCCAGCAGAGATATGACAGTTACGCTGCACTGGTTCAGGATAAGATAGAGAACAGTGATGATGAATTAGACACATGTACAACATCTGGGTATCTTTATTTGTAGACGTTTCGCCAACCAGTGGTTTTATCAATACAAGGACATAATGAGAAGAATTATATACAAAAGACGGGGTAATCAGTTCCTCAGCCTTACCTTTACTAAACATATAAGTTCTGTCAAACAACTTAACTGCTGGGAACGCTTGAAAACACTTGGCTTGTACTCAATGGAGTGCAGGTGAGAGAGATACATTATAATCTACACTTAGAAATTCCTAGAAGGAATGGTCCCTAATCTGCACACAGAAATCACTCGCTACGAAAGCAAAAGACTGGGCAGGCGGTGCAAAATACCCTCAGTGAAAAGTAGGGGCGCCATTGGTACACTAAGAGAAAACAATAACTGTCCGGGTCCCAAGACTGTTCAACAGCATCACACCTTGCATAAGGGAATTGGCAATAGACCCCTGGCTGCGTTCAAGAGGGAGCCGGATCAGCCGGGCTGTGGTTCGTATGTTGGACTACGTGCGGCCAGCAGTAAGAGCCTAGTTGATCAGGCCTTGATCCACCAGGCCCCTGCGGCCCGGTCCATGAAGCCTGGTCGTGGACCGGGCCGCGGGGGCGTTGGCCCCAGAATACCCTCCAGGTAGGTAGACGTAGAAGACTCTAGTGGAGAGGTACTTTGTTTCTGTATTAGCTTTTACTGGCATGGTGGTAAGAACCATGTGTAACTCAACGATTTGGATCTGATGTCATTTTTAAAACTGATCTGGACAATGTGACTCATTGCTGCGATGAAGAATGTAAAATCGACCATTTCTTTCTGCGGTGCTCGTTCTTTATCGACTGACCACTGACCCTGACGTTCTGACCCCCAACCCAGTCTGTAGGGTCGCAGAGGTGGTTGTCAGGATGCTGTCACAGTCTAGCACCGAGGGTGACCCTTGACCCCCTCGAGGCTCACAAACTGCAGTGTCTCCTCAAGCACAGCCGAGTCAGCATTCAGTGTGACGGCGATCACAAGATGCTTCGGTTTCATCAACATCATGACTGGTCAGCACTAGGATGTGATCAGCAGATTGTGGTTGCAGTATCCTCAACTCAGCGCACTCAGTGAACTACAAGGCTTTGTTTGGCGTTCCAGGAGATGTTAACAAAAAAAACTCCTGCTTCAGGAGCACCATATGTAAGTTATTATTCGTGTATAGACCACAAGAGAAATATAATCAAAGGACTCCTTGTTCAAATAATTTACCAAGCAGTGTCTTGATAAATCAGTGTGTTGTAACGGGCAGCACGGAGCGGGTGCAGCAACATTCTCACTCTTCCAGGGAGGCGCCTAGAGGACGGCGAGGTGCACTCGTTCCAGGTAATTGGACGGGTTCTCCCCTTCCACGGATCGAACCACATTGCCTCCCATTTCCCAGGCGTTGTATGGTCCTTACGGGTTTATTGTTTCCCAGTAATAATAATTGCAAAAACAACAGCCACTCGCAGTTTAAGCAAAGGCTTCAGACTGCGATATTACCCAAATAATTGCAATGCTAGCTTTTGTAA